GCTCCTTCTGGTTAACACTGCATATTGAGTGTGTGGATGCAGTCGTGGGTGGTACATCCATCTTGGGACACAAGTATCAAGTGGCTGCTCACCATGACGAGCAGATATGGGAACGTCTGTCGCCAGCTGTGCAACAAGATGGGAGGGGTGAAGCTGATTGAAGTACAAGGACAGAACTGGAGTCACCTGGTCCTCACACACTACCTAAGTCACTGAAAGCTGTAGTGTTCCAGTACTTTGCTTCTTTTTGCTCTCTATTCGCTTCTACTACTCACCCTTCTAATTAACACTCGTTGGCCTAGCCATGTGATCTTTCAAATGATTTATCGCAATTCCAGCGCCTACCGATTTGATTTTAACGCGCAGTTAGTTTTTCCATGTATACGTTCCGGTGCTGTTCTGGTCTGCTGCCTTTTCGGGATACAACAAATTTGCGTCGCGTGTTACCGATGTCTTTGCATGCTACTGCTCCTGCACTGTTCAGGACTGACCCTGCGGTTACTCCAAATGCAGAATGCTGGGAAGACTGGAAGATTAGTTTTTCAGATTTTATTTTGTGTTACCAGTTCTCAATCCATCCGTGACACTGAAAACGGAGGATACTTTAAAGCTTTTGCACTTGCACCTCGGCTCAGAGTGTCGACGTATTTTTGATGCTCTAAACCTTCAGGAGAAGCTTACATTGACAAATGCCTTATCGGCCCTCGATAAACATTAGGGTGTTCGAGTGAACACTTATACTTCTCGGTACAATTTTGTACAGCCGAAACAGTAATCTGGTGAATCAGTGGATGCATTCATTTCTCGCCTTGGTTGTTCTGTTTGAAAGTGATTACGATAGTATTCCCAAGAAAAATGGGGATGAAACAATTCTAATACAACACTTGATTTCTGGTCTCACGGATTCTCGGATCAGAGAGTCTCTTAAAGAAAAGCAGGAATACTCACTTGGGACCCGGCCTGTGTGTTAGCCTGTGCGGAGGTAGCAGTCACGGAACATAACCAAATATTCCTGTCTGACACATGAGCTACTGAAATTGACCGTTTGGATTCTACACGCTCTCTGACGTGATCAACAGTTGAAAACGAGTGCCACCGTTGTGTAAGTGCTGAATACCGTGCAAAGGATAAGTCATGTCCTGCAAAGAGTGCAATCTGCCGGAACTACGGTAAGACCGGTCATTTTGCACTAATTTGTCGTTCCCGTGCTATTTCTTTTGTTGATTAGGCAAATGACTCTACAGTTTCGCCGGTCACTACTGAACAATCCATATATGGCGTTGGTGAATGGGAACACTCAATTTCGTCTCCAACCCAAGAATCCAAACTGCCTTCGCCAAATATTCGTCATGTATTTTTTGAACTTAGAAACAAAACCATTTGTCTAGACATGGAACTAGATGCCGCGTCACCAATTACAGTTGTACTATATTGTTTTTACAAACAGCATTTTGGTCAATTAACTGTGCACCTTTCCGCTTACACTTTCAGTAGCTATACAAATGTTGATGTTCACATACTCGGTTTTGTTACGGTTTGAATATTTCTTATAAACTGTTGGAAGCGGACAGTGAAATTTACGTTTCTAAGACTGATAGTATGCCACTATTGGGACGTAACGCCATGGTATTATTGAATGTACCACCATGCGTCAGCCGGATGACTATTGCCAGCGTCAACCATTATTCGTTACGTTGCAGTTAGCTAAATCTCTTTCTTCCGGATATTGGTAGAGTCCCACAAACAATGCACCGCGTTCGGTTGAGCGCGGACTACAAACCATTCAGCATTTCACAACCTAGGTTTGTACCTCCGGCCAAGCGAGAGGCTTTGTAGCAAGCTTTGAAAAATTGGGTCACGGAAGACTTGATAGAACCCATGCAGTGTTTTGAATAGTTTCATCCACTAGCTGTCTTACAAAAAAAGATAGCTCCATTCGTGTATGCACCGACTTTCGAGCGCTTAATCGACATATAATCATGGACCAATTCCCTCTGACTTCTCTCAACTAGTTGTTGGTTAGGCGTTAAAACTCCAAACTTTTCTCAAAGCTGGATATTCGCAGTGCATATTATTCCATGCCACTAACTCCATTTCGTCAACATTTGACTGCTTTCCTCAAGCAAGACAGTTTGTATCATGGAATTGAAGACTGGTAACTCAGGTTGTTGAGATGTTGAATTGTTCACTGAGCCGGGCAATTTTGTTGCAAACGTTTCGTCACTAATCGAGGTGACATTATCAGTGCGTAGTTGAGTGGAATGCAATAGCGTAGGGTAGCGTAGAGGAGCCTCAGTGAGAGTGCCGAGGCTCCTCTAAGCTACGTTACGCTACTGCACGCCACTCAACTACGCACTGATGATGTCACCTCGATTGGTGACGAAACGTTTGCAACAAAATTGCCAAGCTCAGCGAACACTTTAACCGCCACAGTTTGTAACGGTACATAGTGTTACCAATGGGCCTCAGTAGAGTTCCAGCAGTTTGACAGAAATTTATTGCCCTATCGCTATTCGATCTCAAAAGATGTGTTGTGTATATGGACGATATTGGTGTCTTTGGCAGTAACCCCACCGAACATCAGGAAAACCTTCATAACGTGCTGCATAGACAGACTGAACTAAATCTCCGCCTGAATGCCAACAAGTGCCAGTTCGCCGTAACGGAGGTAGTGTGTATTGGGCATGTTACTTCTACCACTGGTATTAAGTCCAATGTGCAGAACACCAAAGCCATTCTGGATTGTACAAAACCAAGCAATGTTACACAGATGAAACATTTCTTGGGTTTGTGTTCTTATTACCTTCGAAATCTACCAAATTTTGCGACTATTACCGAGCCGTTGCGGAGGTGGACGCACCAAAACCAGGAGTTTCGTTGGGCCACTGAACAAGACAATGCTTACATGGCCATAGGAGCGATGATTGAATCCACCCTTACGGTAGCGATCTTCGATGAGCATTGTTCAACGTTTGTTTCCACGGATGCTTCAGATGTCGGCTTGGGTGCAGTTCTGTCCCAGCTGCAAAATGGAGATGAGAAAGTGATTGCGTATGCATCGCGTACCTTGTCCAACACAAAGAAATTAATCTGCCAGCGAAAAGTAGGTCCTCCCATGCGTCTGGGCGCGTGATAACTGGCACTTTTACTTATTCGGCCGTCGATTCACTTTGCTGACTGATCATTCTGCTCTTACAACGTTACTGCGTCGCGGTAACAATGGCCAAAAGCCGGTAGGCTTGAGGTACTGGTACTCTCATACATTGAACTATGATTATGAAATAAAGTATGTTCCAGAGTGCTTTAACCAACTCTCAACTGCACTGTCCAGACTTCTACTGTCCAACGAAGGGGAAAACGAGGGTTTAGAGGAGGTAAATTATATCGCAGCTCTCAGACGGAACACCTACAATAATATTTGACCTGAGACACACTGACAGAAACCATGTCCTAGCGAAGCTTCGCGAGTACGTATCCACTTCATGACCCCGGCGGAACCAAGATCCAACCTGAGTTACTTTCATACTATACCCTACAGCACGAGCTTCTTACTGTGAGCAACTGCATTATTAAAGGCGAGCACTTTGTGCACCCTACAACCCCTATTGTACTGGTGGTTGCATATGCACATGTAGGTCATCCAGGGATTGTGCGAACAAAAGCTCGGATACGACAATACTGTTGGTGGTCGAAGTTGAATTCCAGCGTAGAGGCGGTTATTCGGGAACCTTACACCTGCCAACAATACGATAAGTGTGCGGGGCCCCTGCATGCTCTAGTCCAACCTACCGTGTACCCAATGAAGCATTGGGCAAAAATTGTCATCGACATTATGGACATGTTTTCCAATGCACCCCCGCAGAAACGACACGTTCTAGTAGCTAGCTGTAGATACAGTAAATGGTCAGAAGCTATACTATATGGGGACGTAACCCCAACCGTCGTCGTATAGTGTCTCCGTTGTTTGTTTTCAAGCTACGAGTAGCCAGAAGAAATAGTCACTGTTAACGACCCACCGTTTCGAAGTAACGCGTATGCTGAATTCCTAAGGTGCAATGGTTTCAGACACTCGAAGACTGTACCTTAAAAATATTGCATTGAATGGACACGTCGAACGATTTAATCGTACGTTGAAAGAATCTCTACAAGTCCTACGGCTTTCCGGAAGATCCTGGGATGATGATGGGATGATGATCTGACTTAGAGTTATACAGAACAACTCCGCATACTGCAACGGCTAGGACCCGGTCGGAGCTAATGCCAGAGCGAACAATACAAACTCGATGAAATGCAATATTTACATCCGAAGAAACTGCCGATCACAGAGAATACGAAAGACGTGCTGTTTACCAGGCTAGGTCTAGACGCGTTAGGAGCGTATCCTCCAGGGACTTTAGTTCATGTGAGACTACCCTATTCCCGGAAAGGTAATGTGTTCGGACCCCCGACCCGTGTGGAACCTGTGTGCACGCCAGGAACTTACAAGTTGGCTGACGGAACAAACGTGAATTCAAGACGGCTGCAAACAACGTGTTCCCAACGTGCTATCGAACAGAACACACATACAACCCAGCGCTGGGTACAAATTAATACAAACCTGTGACCTTCCGGTCGGATACGCCGCCCTGTCTACCGGTACGCTTTAACGGGTAATACCGCGTGACAATTCTTCCGGGTGCTGACATTAAATTAGATCGTACAAGGACACGTAGTGCCCGTATATTTACGAACAGAGGAAGGGACAATGTCGTCTTTAAATCCCTTGCTTTGTTTTGGCTCTCAATTCGCTTATCCTACTCACACTGCTATTTAGCACTCGTTGGCTCAGCCACCTGATCTTGCATTTCATTGATTACAATTCAAACCTCTATCGGTTTGACTGTAACGCGAGTAGGTGCGGACAGTTTTCTATACATATGTTTCGGTGCTGCTCTGGTCTACCGCTTTTTCGGGATATAGCAGAAGCATAGGCTGGCGATCAAGGCTTTGTTTCCATCAAACTCGCATAGCATTCGTATGGGTTAACCGCAGATGTGGATGGTTAGATAGAAATTATGGCACAAAACTCCTGTGGACACTGGCAACTTCAGTCATATCATTATGCATGCTGAAAACGAAGAATACCGTCATACTGTAGGCCGGCGAGTGGTAATGTTTACACGGACGACAGGAAGACCACGAAAACAGGGGTGGTGGAAATCAGGTACAGGCGCAACAAGCGAGACCAGAAGGAGCAACGCAGACCTGGTTTATCGGGCTGAGACCGGGTCGCGAGTGGCGGCCGGTAGCGATGCTGAGTCGAGAAGAACGGAGGAGACACACGTTGAAAGCACTGTAACTCAGACGAGTACGTCATTTTTGGGCTCTAGGACTGACTCCAAGCAGTGTGAGGTAGACGCGATTAAGCAAATCATGGACTGTCGAACCGACTCATAGCAGCTCATAATAGGAGGGACAAAAGCAGATACCGGGTGAAATATGCAGGAATTATTCAACGGTAAATGCCGGTAGGCGCATAAATGGGTTGTGAGCGGACTTCAGAGAATGTGGTGCACTGTGGAATTGAATCGTGACTCATTCCTGTTCGCCTGTGTGTGTGGTTTATTGGCTATTGACGCCTCAACCTAGAGTTTGCTTCATTACCGTGTCGTTCTGCTACAAGTGTACACAGGTTCTATCCATTCGGCCCGTTTCATCAACATCAGATGGATGTGAGCGGTATATCCGCGTGTTGGCCGCTCTGCACACGTGTTTCTCCAAGTCGTTAACAACATATTCATGCACTTTTACTTTTGGGCTCATCTGTTGATTCCTCACTGAATGTGCATGGTTGCGCTGCAGAATTAACCTCTATAGTCAATTCCGCCTCCCAAATCATTCATGCCCGTATGTTCATTATCTACTTCGATTGCTGACCGTAGGCTCAATATCGTGCCATACAGCGCCCTCCTAAATTTCACAAAAGGTTACATGGCAACAGTATCGCTTCGTTGGTGCATAGTCCAAACTTGATACATATGATGACATCGTGAAGAGCGTACGGAGGTACTGCATCACAATTTACGAAATGCTGTGACCAGCATCCAAATGACGGATAACAGGCCTGCTTCATTGTGTGCTCATACTAACACTACTTTTAAACGAGTAGTGCACTCTAACAATAGCAACAGTCAAACCCAAACAACCCCATCAGTCCAATTGTAAACGCATCAGCTCTCGATTAGGCGACACATCATGCACTGATTACGAGCTCACGAAATAGTCATGTGGCCTAGAGCAGCGAAATACACCCATATTTGTCATGCGTTGTTGGGGTTTAATAGCGCTACTGCTCGAATGCGACCGGGTGAGCGGCGTGGGTGGGTGGGCCAACTAGCTGCAACACTTGTGCATCACATTCGCCTTCCTTACGCCGCACTGTTTCGATGTTGTGTAGAGCGCCAGGTACGTGGGTGGTGAACGGTTAATCACTTGTGACCCCTCTCATGTAGCATCCGGCAACAATTTCTACAGCAACTTTACGACGTCGTGACTGTGTCTGCAGAAGTGAAAGTGTAATATTACAATGTCATGAAACTTCGGAATGGTACAACTTTCCTGCGCTTTTGCTGCATAATTGAGATCCCGGTTGACTTTGCTTTCCTGTCACAGCACTTGCGGCCGGTGACTAAGGGGAGGGAAAGTGTTTCTGACCTCAAATGGGAAGGATTTAGGTCTGTACTAAACTAGATGCCACCATTCCAGATGAGTGCAGTCTACTATCTTATAATCGTGAAATCGCAGTCCACCCAAACTGTGACTAACAGCGAGTGTGCGCTACAGCGTATCTAAACGTAACCTCCGGGAGCGCCGATTTTCTCTTTTATTAATCCGGACTGCTTCGGTGAAATTATGATCATTTACTGGAGCGAGTAAGATGACCTACCATAGGATACAAGTGTCGCAAGTCCAGTCTCCACGGCGATGTCGGTGGTACCCCTCTGGCCCGGCTTCATGGCAGTGCCAAACACGGCTGGCTAGTCACGGCGAGCTCAGAGTACAGCTCTCAGTGGCATTGTTCTGATGCGAATGACGAGTCGGCAATGTTTTGTTGTGGTCATGGCGCGTTCGTGACATGTGCGTCTGCTAGAGGTATCTCTCACTCAGTTTTGAGGGCACTAGTAGACTGCGATATGGGTGAGGAATTTCGGAGCGTCTATGCCACCTAGTTTGCAGACGAAACTTTTGCATCAAAAGTACCCAGCTCGGAGAACAACCCAACTACCTCATAGGTGGATCTGCTTCACCTGCTGTACTTTATCAAACCTTGTTTATGCACCGGAACCTGAGTGCTTGGTTGAAGCGACTTAAGCGGCCCGATGTTTTCCAAATAAGCACGCGAATCCATGTGTGCGAAGAGGATTTGCCCCAACGGATATCATCAACTGGAAACAATTGAATAGAGTTCATCACTGCAATCAACTTTTGCACTCTTTTTCTGTTTCCGGAAAATCACCAAACTTGGGCCTATGGTGGGTGACAATAGAATCCGGATTCTTTAGTGTTAGGGCTAACTAGGTCTGCCGAAGATGTACATGTTTAACTTAGTGAATAGCAGAAACGGCCTTAAGGTGATCATCAAAACATTGTCAGTAGTGTCAAAATTCAGTGCACTTGTTGCAAATTCTGCTAATCAAGATACAGAATTGAAAACTCTCCCGAAATCTGTTATTAAGGGCGACACATTGATCTAGATTGCAACATGAAGTAACCAACAGTTTACCGTCACAAAACTTTTTCCAGCGATTGGCGTATGGGGGCTGACTCCTGATGCAGACGTCCATATCATCTGCTGGGAACTGTTTCGTATATGCGGGGAATCACGTGTAGCACACTTTGGTACTATCCCAGAGTCATGATACCTACGCTCCTTCAATTAGGGAAGCAGATTATATACGGCCGCATCTCGTCTATGAAACATGTGACCAGCGTCAAAAGGGCTATTCCAAATCAATCACTTCTTCCATCTCCTTGAATCGAGATAATTTTCTTTCACGTACTCCAACTACCGAGCGATCGATATACTGCCAGTGAATTCCTGCTTGGACCCCGGATGCATTTGCCCCAGCTGCACTCTTGGTGCCAACCCTGCATCTTTCATTCTTCGTTAAACCTATTGGAAATCTGATCGATACCGCAAGTAAGGTTCACCATGGCTGCGGTGTTGCAGGGCTGAATTGGTGTGCACTATGTGTACAAATTCCTACAACAAAACACGTAGCCGGCTTCTGTTATCCAGCCATTACTACAAGAGAGAGAGCGAGAGCTCGGGGGGAGGGTTAGGTTCGACATGCCGAAAGTGTTTAAGTTGTTTTCATCAACTACTGACACAGGTGTGAGTCGTCTTCATTCATTTCAATACCCATACGCCGTAGCGTGGTCGATGTGACTTCGCGCTTGTCTAAACTCGCAGGAATCACGGGCGCATTTACAACACTGTTTGGTCAGTTATTTACACTTGTGCATTGATTGTTCGCTGGGTAAATTGATTGGCCGAAGCGAGACCGGATGCGAACACCTCACCGCCTTGTACGACCTCTCTCTCTCTCGATGGCCGTATGGATTGAGCTTCTGTTTACGTTGCAATATCCGCTCTTCATTCATGTATCACGTCAACATTAGCGTCCCATTCAACGAAATACGTACATCGGACAAATGGACGCTTGCTAATCTGGCCACATCAGCGTCGTATCAAGCGGCCCGAAACCCATAATTTTATGTCAGGATTTCCTTTTCGAACCTTGGTTCTAATTGTTGTGTGCTCCTCTGTATGGGTTTCGACCACGAAAGCAGGAGATAAGGAACGCGAACTGGTGTTAGAACTTGTACGAGACGGCAGTTCCCACAGGGAGGCGGATGTTCCCGCGTCAACCAATCTGGTCCGGCTTAGCTGTTCACACGGCAACCAATGGATTGTGCCTAATTCCTTGCCCCGAACGAATGATAAGGTAGCGGTGTCCGCAGAACAAAAAGAGAATGGAGGAAGCTTTCTTGTTATTCGTTTACCCCCCGGATCAGCTGAAAGAGGTCACTGGCGAGGACTATACCAGTGCTGCTACAGTGGTGAAAATGAGCGACCTTCAGATCACAATAGCACTTTCACGTGGGTCCGACGACGTGGCCAACCATCGTGTTGTCCCTGCTGCCCTTGGTACGAGCAAGAGCGCTGCCTCCCACAACGGGACGATGCTGTGGAAACAGTTGAGCTCCGCTGCTCCCAAAGTGTCTTTCTATACACACATGCGATACCTGAGGAAGCTGTACAGCTGCACATTGTGCCTGGGGAACCAATGTTGATTCCGTGTCCAGCCCTGTTGGGTTCCGAAACGTGGTGGCCAGAGATTCAGTTACAGCTTGTACCCAAATACCCCCTCGGTTGGCCTTGGTTTCCCTTCCAAACTCCAGAAACAAAACCAATCTCATACATGTACGATTCACGCCACGGATTGTGCCTAAACAGATCCCAGTTCCAGCGGTCAATCCCTTACTTGATGTGTCATTATCCGCAAGTGAATCGAACTAGGACCGTCCAACTGGTTTGGCCCCCACCACCACCCACCGTGGCGCCTGAAGTGCACTTGCAGTTCGTATCCCCGGAAGCTTCTGACAAGGGAGATCCGATGCATTTAACCAATTTCGAAGAGATCGCTGATGCAATATCAGCAGAACCGCCAATTTATCGTGTCCGTTGGGGCAGCCACTTCCGAGTATATTGTATCGCAAGCTACAACCAAACAAGAATTGTAAGGCGACCACCTCCGCGTCTGTGCTTCATTTGGGACCACCGAGAAGTAAGTCAGGAGTTTATTTTTGTAGTTGTCTGTGGGTACAACTGTGGTGCTAGGTCAATGCTAAGTTGCAGAAAGCTACAGTCTCTGTTACACGTGGCACCCCCTTTCCGGCATGATAAAGCTTTTGCAATTAAATCTCATCAAGGTAGCCAATGGATGGTTTAGATATAGGCGAAAAGAGTAGCCATGTGTTCAGTATTTCTTCATGAACTCAACATTTCAGCTGTTTTTGTATTCGAGTTGCCATAGTAAGAATGAGTGGCATGGGTTGAGGTACAACATTCTTAAGGGTCCTTCATTATTCGTGTGGTATTTGAATTTCTCGACCACAGCAGGTCATGCATACATCGTAGAATCTTGATAGTTCCCTATAGGAGCCAGACCAAGTTTCTTTTCCGCCACCTAAGGGACAAAGTTTTATTGTTCTACAATAAGAAGAACATTAAAATGTGTTTTCAGAGGCTTAAAGTATAACAAGTATAAATAAATAAATAAATTTGTGTGTTTACCGACAGACGGTATACGGCCCCATGTTTCCTATATGGGTAAAAGTTAGATTTGAATGGCGCTCAGAATACGGCATCGTACTTGACGATCTAGTACAACCTGAAGGGAAAATTGGTATGGAGGCATGCAAGGCGGATTAGGTTTGTATCTTCCAGCCCCCAAGCATGTTGTAGTAATTATACGCTAAGTGGTGCCGCCTGTCCTTGTTCAAGCCTCTGCTTGGAACGTGGTGACTGCACTACGTAACCAATCTGTAAGTTAGACTGCATGTCTTTGGAGGAGGTAGCCACCCAGTCGAGGAGCTCGTTTCGTTGCAGCAACTGTGTGACTTGGACACGTATTGCGCATTCCCGTTCACCGTTTTCCGTGTGGTGTGCTATGTGTAGTTGGTGGACAGGGGTGGGGCGCGCGGTGTGGTAGACAACCAACAGCTTCGAGAAAAGGCATGAAAAAGCCAACGAAACACTTCGTCGCGGTCGGTCGTTCTCGACTCCCCGGTAGAAGACCCCGGAATTCATGGTAAAATACCGACGTCAGTGGAGGACGTGCACCACAGCGTGTTGCAATGTTGCCTTCTGTTTCCTAATAAAAAATACGGGAAAACGCAAATACTGCACGTGGGAAACTGGACAAACATGTTGCCGTTTGTGCTGTTCACTCCATTTCTGTTTTCGGTGATTCATTATCAACCCAAATACAACACATCTATATAGCTAATTTAAGGAATAGTGGGCTAAGTATCTAGAAAATGAAGGTGTCAAAATGCACAAAATGTGTGTGATTTGTTCATGTACCACCGCAATAGTCGCACATCTAGTCCAAATGAACCATACAGTCGTTACCTTTAACGTATTTCACCCGAGTTTTCGTTTGAGAGAAGTCCATTTCAAAATTATCAGATGCCGAATCCTTGCATAGGCGGAGGCGATGGCGATTCGACTCAACAAACCCCGTTCATCAAGGCATTGGCTTTACCCTGGCCAGTTTTGTCCAAACAACTTCCGAGTGAACAAATCACACCCATTGTTATTATTATTATTATTAGTAGTATTTTGACACCATCATTTTCTAGTTACTCCTGCCACTCCCTATAAATTATATAAATATTTCGTATTTAGCCTGACGAATAATCGAAGATGTGCTTGTTTACTATATCTTTTCTCAGCCAACTGAATCCATGGCACTTCCAAATTTCTCCTTAAGAAAGGCATGTTCCTCCATAGATCGCTCAAGACGGTCCTTAGCGTTTTCAAATTGCATCCAGTTGGCACGAGCGTCACTAAATGCTAAGGCCCATTGAGTGACCAAAACCAAATCAGTCAATAGCATCACACTAAGTGTACTCATCTGTTCTAACATCTGTTTATTTGAGATTGGTAACTAATCGAACAGCACGTACTTTTAGGTGTGTTTGCGCCCATTGGATACAACTTGAAATCGTTAAGGACCATCTTGAGAGATCTATGGAGGAACATGATTTCCTTAAGGAGGAATTTGATAGCGCCATGTATTCAGTTGAGTGAAAAGGTACAGACCGTATATTTATGACTGAAATGGGAATTCTTCACCATTTGAAACAAAGCACTTGTGCTTTCCCATTCCACAATGATTCCGGTAGTACCATATCTGCACCACAAATTGCCTATATATATATATATATATATATCAGTGTAGCCGAGCAAAAAGAAAAGTGAAGACAATTTGAGGAAATAGGGATGGATATGTGTGAAAAGTAGTCACTTAGCTTCTCTTGCTCAGCTATGTTTGCATGATAGCTACAAAGAAAGCATGGTGGAATAGAAAGGACAACGCGAAAACTAGAATGAAGATGGGTAGAGGAGGTTCCGTGATTGTTTCCTTTCCAGTTCTCACATTTTGACCTGGCTTTAAACTAGGCATGACTGTGCAAACTGAACGTGAATAATGGGGATACAAATATGTAGATCAGTCTGAGTTTAGTGAAAAGAGGTAAAACGATTTGGGGATCCTGCCAACTATTCAGCTTGTTTATAAAACACAGTTTTTGTGATTGTCTGGCCAAGCTAATTCTTGGGATTGGGCCATCTTAGTGTGGATGATGCGATGATAAATGAGAACATCGAACCGGTCAGATGTACGGGGGAGCGATGGGGCAGGGCGCTCCACAGCCAATGGCCGCAACCTTATTCCAGAGACTAGGCGTCCCTTAAAAGTTCGGTGAGGCATAAACGCTTCAAGAACCTCAGCTACTTCGTTCGTCGTAAGTAGATTTAATCCCAGGGCACTTGATGGGCGCCTGTCCAAGGAATAGTGAATGAACAATGAATTCACACGAATTGACGAGCATATCTTACAAATTCCGTTGGGGGGCTTGGTGGGTTTATCGAAATAATGATAAGAAAACTGTTAATACTTTGTATGAAAAGGACTTCTCCTTCGTTGCGCTGTAGTCCTGCAACCCGAGTAGTTTCACAGTGCCCACAGGTAAATTCCAGGATTAGGACGGAGACATAGTGCTAAGTAACAAAGTGTATGTGGATGAGCGCGTCATCCAACCGGTTTTTAAATCTGTCTAGTGTAGGTGCAGAAACGGCCGATTCGGGGAGACCCTTCCACAGGTGACACACGCGAATAGATAGAAAATTCCTGCCGCACTCCAGACAACTGTACTGTTATGCTAGTTTCGAAGGGTGAACTCTCAAGTTTGTGTTACTGCTGAGTTGCAGTAAAGAATGGCATACGATTTGAATTATGTAAAAGCAAGTGTGCCATTATCATTTCTCCTCGTGCTCGGCGATATCGTTCGTTGAATAGTATCAAACGCTTCAGCCTCTGCTTGTAAGGGAGATCAAGCATTCCGATGCCCGACGTTGAGGCTGCTCCAATGCATTAAGGTCGTGTTTCAGCCATGGATGTCATGCTTGAATTGCGTATTCGACATGGGGTCGAACCTACGCATTGAGCGTCCGTCGAAATTTAGAAATATCGATTAGTCCGAACGTACATCGCAACTGGCTGACATGTTGCTTATCCACTTTAGAGAACTTTTCGGATTTCCTTTAGCAACTTAGCTAATTCTGAACCAACACACCCAGATCCCGTTCCACGGAAGCTCGCTGTAGTACTTTTGTTTCCATCCTACATGAGTAGTTGATCTGGTGTCATATGGATGGTACGTTGCATCTACTTACGTTAAGACGCAGTAAATTTTGGAATGACCACCAATGTACCTTGTCGCAATGTACCTGAATCCTGAGCCAAAACTTGACATCAGCAAACGATAGGATGTTTGAAGCGAATACCTGTGCGAGGTTATTGATAAATACCAAAAGCAACGGTAGCCTAGAGTTCAGCCCTGAAGTTCATCACACTCGACTTTTGTGGGGTTAGATAACGAGCTCCAAATCCCGATCGCTAATTGCCGTTGAAGGAGAAGTTGGTGATCCAGCTCAACAGAGAGTCACCGATCCCGTAATATTGGCGCTTAGAAAGGATTATCCGATAAGGTGGACAAGGGGTCAACAAACTTTTTACATGGCGGACTGACTAGAAAATATACCGGAACGGACCGGATAACCGGAAAAGATAGCTTACACGGGCCGGATAACTAAGATATGGCTATCGTGCCCTGCAAAATCATTGTACACAACGGTTGCAAGCCAGAACGTAAATTTTGAGAAAATAGACAAAGAAATATGACACTGCGTCCACTTTCTTTTCTTAGCAGTCATAGTGAGGGCCGAAAAACAGGGGAACTGTGCGATAAGCAGCTGTTGAGTAACAAACATAATAAAAATCCTGTTGAAATACCAGTAAACAGAGAGCTAATGGTCATTGGTGGAACTACAGCTCACCAGAGGTACACGTAAAGTTTATTGGTACCTTTGGTAGTTTATCACAAAAGAATGCTTGCGGTGGATGCATATATATATATATATATATATATATATATATATATATATGAAAAGGCGTTGCGTCGGACACGTGCTTCATTGGAGCTGACCAACGGAAAGTTGAGGCACAAAGGTGTGAAGTTAGCAGGAACACGAGAAAATGCAGGGATGAACGGGTTTCATGCGCGAGCACTCACATCAAGGTTACAAAGATGTGGGGCCACAAACAGTACGGTAGCGCGGTGTCACAAATATCAACCATGAGATGACTCACCTTTGGGTTCAAACAGTAGAAGGTCACGGAAACCATGACATGCAGTGCCAAATGTAAATAGTATTACAGCGTCTCGAGTTCCATAGCTTTACCGAGCAAAATCGGGTACATTCGGCTGGCCGGATTGATTGACGTCATGGATCGGATGCTGCCCACGGGCAGTAGTTTGGCGACCCCTTAGTTAGAAGATCGAATACCTCAGACAATGTCTTCTCCAGCATCAGCTGATTCGGTCCAACTAATCCGTGAGACTAGTGAAGTGGTTGTGCACGACTGCATTCAACGGAAGCCGGAATGATCAGGCCTGATGATGCAGCAGTTTTGCAGGTAGCACACCAGCTTATATG